TCGGCCAGCCGGCCAGAAAGAATTAGCAAAAAGGAACTGTGGTTAGGAACAAACCAACCAAGAGCCGACTGCTCAACAAACATGTAGGTTAAAATAGAGATGGATCGGGCGTACGTTGAGGAGGCCGTCGAATGACATCGAGCGCAACGCAGGCCATTGCTTTGTTTGAATCCCGATGGGAAGTGACGAGTGGGTCTTCGGTAGTAGGATGACATGGAAGAGATCGTGTGTCAGGGAGGAGGAGAGGATAGATTATGGGCAATCGTGGATCCAGATGAAGAGGAGAGCAGAAAATGGAACAAAGTGGGGATGTTTTGGTGAAGCCGTATATTCCCCTTGGAAGGCAAGGGAATAACAATAATAATTAGTTACAGAAGTGGGCATCTCTGAGAGGTGAATCAGGATTCATAAACACTATTACTGAGTTTGTTTTCTTTAGGCTGACAGAGGAACTTAAAAGAATGTAAGTTGAACTTAACAAATACTTCTAACTAAAACTTATGTCAGATATAGAAAATATTCATTCTCACTAAGATGCAAGATATTTTAATATAGAAGAATCTAGTTTCCTCTAGATTTGGCACTGCAAGCATTACCATAATATCAAAACTTTGATCTCCATTGATTTAACATCCAGCAAAATCTAGTGATCACAAAGTCATCTATAGGCGCTAAAGTAAAAATGTATTGGAAACAAATTATTTCACTTTAGATACTGACATGAACCGATATCGGTTGAGGAGTCGTTAAAAATCAAGTATCACAGCACAGCTAATTAGCTATAGTCTTTTTGATGTGGTTTTGCTCCCTGACCTGGATGGTTAGTTTGCGAAGCTTTCATCACCTTACTGGGTGACATCTTCAGCGCATACTTCAATTTGAAGTGAGCTTTTAGATTTCTCCACGAGTTTATTAATCATCTCTCCTGGTGACCTTGGACGTGATTGGTTGTTTATGTGCGTTTTCACACCTTCGAGGCTACTTGTATTGGAACCGGTTGTTTCTTTGACTTGAACTTTGACCCTTTGTGTGTGAAGTTTCTTTCTTATTGGTTGATAAAATTTGTTTATCTCGATGTGTCTATTGATTGATGATCCACTGGAATGCCAAGCTTCTAAAAATTCTCTAGCATTCTTGTTATTTCCTTTGTCTAATATTTGAACGTTGTCCCAGTCGAATTGATGTCCGTAGTTGTCTGTGTGTAGTGAAATGAGGGAGTGGATATCATGTCTTTTGACGGCTAGCTTATGTTCGTGGATACGAAGACGAAGGGGACGTCCACTTTGGCCGATGTAGTGTTTTTCGCAGTTGTTACAGTTTATTTTGTAGATGATGTTGGTTTTATCTTCTTTCGCTGTTGAGTCTTTCGGTTGACATAGAATTGAGTGCAGCGACTTTGTTGGTTTGTGTACGACGTCAATTCCTAAAGCTTTGAAGAGTCTTGTAGTGATTTCTGAGATATCTTTTATATATGGTAAGGCAATTGTCTTTGTGATTTCCTTGGTGGCTTTTGCTTTGGTAGGTTGGCTTGGGGGTATATGTCTCTTGATGAAATTCCGTGGATATCCATTCTTTTGGAAGACGTCCATGAGATACTTTTCTTCAATTTTTCTTAAGGTGGGAGTGCTGCAGTGAGTCCTTGCTCTCTTGAATAGTGTTTGTATGCAATTCCTTTTGTGTGTTATTGGGTTGTTGCTGTTGTAATCCAAATACTGAAACTATAATTTTATCTCCAGTGAATCATCAATCAATAGACACATCGAGATAAACAAATTTTATCAACCAATAAGAAAGAAACTTCACACACAAAGGGTCAAAGTTCAAGTCAAAGAAACAACCGGTTCCAATACAAGTAGCCTCGAAGGTGTGAAGACGCACATAAACAACCAATCACGTCCAAGGTCACCAGGAGAGATGATTAATAAACTCGTGGAGAAATCTAAAAGCTCACTTCAAATTGAAGTATGCGCTGAAGATGTCACCCAGTAAGGTGATGAAAGCTTCGCAAACTAACCATCCAGGTCAGGGAACAATACCACATCAAAATCATCCACCTGAGCTACAAATCTTCTCTATCATATCTAGCTATAGTCTGAAACTCTTTGGAACTGAGCACCCACCACCTCAGAACCATAAAGCTAAGGGGATAAGCCATTAAGTACTTATACACTGAGTTGAAATTTTGTAGCAAGTACATTCTGACTTCTTGTAGCTTCAGATATGGTGCCTTTGTCAAACAGTCCCATCAACAGGCATGCTGGACCCTACCGGTAACAAATTCTCATCAGTACTCCAGAGAATCAATCTTCTGGCCAGTAATAAACAGAAAACTGATGTTTAACAGTGACTATCCCTAACTGGGACGAATCAGCTGTCCAGTGTAACTTGAGTTTTCAGTAATTCTCTAAACTATGTAGGTTTATGACGAGGTTAACATTAAAATTGAGTGAAATTTCTATAAATCCCACTATGTGAAAAAACTTATAATCGCCAACTGTATTTCGATCAGTTTTCTCTATAAATATAAATGAAGTAATCGCAGATTAACAGTATTCTTCCAAATAATACGTAGAAAACACCGAATAATAAGAGAAATAGACGTTTTATTAATAATAATCATGATCTATCTAAACGAGTTAGTCATTTAGATGCAATGGCCAAAAATGAATCTCAGTAAGCAGACGAAATAAGTAAATTAGCAACATTTTGAGAGAAATTTAAGTGTCCAAAGAAATTCTCGCCTCACTGAGCCTTGTGCTGTACTTCAGATACTCATTGAGTACCTTTAACGCAAATTTTTGCCCGGAAGATTTCAATAAAGAAAAAATCCCCGTTTATCCAGTATACAATACTGTTTCACTGTGTGATACATTTAATAAACAAACTAATATGGAATCCCCATTTAGACATTTAGAAAACAGAAAGATTGAGCGAAGAAATATTTACTTTTCAATTAGATCCTCATCTTTGGCTCTATTCTAATATGTACGCATAGCATTTTAATTACAATACAACAGTTTGCCAATCAAGTGGCGATAAGTTTGTTAACAATAATTAAACAGTGTCAATGGGTTAATAGTTAACGAAGAAAATCAATACAGATTTAAAAAGTGGAAATGGATAGAATAAATGAATTTTACAAGAATAACACGTAAATTAAAAATGAAGTGGTCAAAATAAATAAAATAAAATAAATAATTTAGACAAATATAATTTTATAGGTTTAGGGGGAGGGGGTGACGCAGTCCTGTTTATCCATTCTTGTGACGATGGCCACGGTAGGGAAAGTGGCTGTACAAATTTCTTCTGTACACATAGGCTTGGCTTCTTCAGATGAATGCCAATCGCCTCAGCCGTCTGTAGAAGACGAACTCGCAAAGCAAAATTAAGATAAGTTGGAATACGATAAATAATTTTAAATGCTGTATTAACATCAATCTTATGGTCAGTATCAACGAGGTGGGCTAAAATAGAGCTACGAATAGATCTTTTTTGTCCCTTACTTAACCACGTTGGATGATGTTCGAAAATACGACGATGAACTTGCGTAATTGTACGCCGAATGTAGCTGGCTCCGCAGCTGCAGTCAAACTGTTTAATTATTGTTAGCAAACTTATCGCCACTTGATTGGCAAACTGTTATATTGTAATTAAAATGCTATATATATTAGAGTAGAGCCAAATATGAGGATCTAATTGAAAAGTAAATATTTCTTCGCTCAATCTTTCTGTTTTCTAAATGTCTAAATGGGGATTTTTTCTATATTGAAATTTAAGTGTGATAAAATATCATTTAGATGAGTGTGAAACTAATTAATTTACAGAGGAGAAATCAAACGAGAATTACATAAAATATTCGAGTATTTTACAAAAAATATTTGCAAATCACAAACAATAATGCTTCGATTTAATACACTAAATTCCCTTAGGTACTTCCCTCAGACAACTACCCATATCAGACTCTTTTCTTTAGACATTTTAGTATAACACTGGAATGATCATTCAAAGACTAGTTTATATTTACTCCCTTGTATTTTTGACGGAGTCAGATTAAGAAGCATAGCTGCAATATATGTGTTTTTATTCCTAGGTTTGTCGCCTCACTGATTAAGTATGCACACCTAAGTTTGTCTTCACTTCATGTAGTACCTATGAAAGTTACTTGTAGAAGACTTCGATTATCTTAAAATATTAACAATACCTACACAATTTTCAGGTATTGGTTTTGTAGGGATTTTTTGTTTGATTGCTTGGAGGATTTCATCATGAGCTGACATCAGTTAAAAAAGCATAAGAAAACCTGGGAGTAATGGACCACTGGTGGTGAGTACGTACTGACGAAGCAGCTGTGCAGTATACCCAGGTTTTCCAGTTGTTCTCTAATTGATATCAGCTCATGATGAAATCCTTCAACAAACAAAATTGAAATACTATCTATGTTACTTTTGAGTAAAAGATGCTTAATAGATATTCTTTACAATCTGTTCGTATGGGACGTGTATGGTTTGAAACTACTCATATCAGCCAGCAAGTAGTATACACCAACTTGTAATTTTGTTTTAATCCCCGTAGGAATCATAGTAGTTAGCGAAAAGATGAGCATATATGTATGATTCTTTCGCGTTCCAAGTGGAACTTGGGGCTTCAAACTTCTTGACCCTTGAAGTTTTAGCTGTAGTGGCGTCTTTTTCGAAAGGTGGGGTTGCTAGCCTCACATCCAATCTTTCTAACACACTGGGTTTTTGTACACGCTGAGGTTTAGGAATTTGACTAACGATTATCAAACCCTGGACCACGTGAGTCCCCAGTAAGTATTCCATCATTGCACCACAGACTCGCAAATTACCATTCCCAAAGTGCTTGAGAAGGGATTAAAACCCCTGACCCTCTGTTTGGTAGTCGAGCGCCTGGACTATTCATCCACAGCTCCACAGATAATAGTAATAATAATAACGAACTGTAATGTATGTAAATAATCCGGAAATACTGACTTTACTTACCTGAAAACATTTCAGTAAAATCCTTAGATTTCGACTTGTCAATATCATCAATAATATATGGGACAATTCCATTTGGCCATAATTTGATATTTTTCATACCTAATGAGCGTTGATAACGCGTCAAGTGTTCAGTGTGAATAAATGTTAAACACTGACAGAATATTAGTATGAAATTAATAATTAAAATATTTTTTGAAAACATTTTAATGAATTGTTGGGTTTTTTTCCTTTTATTGTTAAAAGAAAGATTATTTCAGTTAGCTCTACAATGCATAATTTGTTCTAATTGATGCGTGTATATATATACATATCGTTTTCAGATAAGTAAGGCTCATATATTTGTAACATATATATATCGTATCTCTCTCTTATTATGTTACTCCGTGTTAAGGATAGACATTCAACTGGTTCAACGGTTTTTATTTGCAACGATAATTTGTTTTAATTGATTAGAAGACAGACATATTTAACCGATGAGAGAAAAAATGCAAGCCTTATAACTACTAATGTAAATGGAGGAGATTTCGAATGAAAAAAACAAAACAGAAGCATTATTATTATTATTACTACTTGATCTGAACAGAAAAGAGGAGTGGGATGTCTTAAGCTGCATAGTAGATTCACTGAATAAGGATTTAAATGGCAACTGGAAATCATAAGAATGCTGGTTATTTATCTAGTGGGTTTAAAAGAAATGCCCCAGTAATGATGATTATAATAGCATCGCTATGTCTACGTGATGATACAGGTAATATGTTATTTATATACCTGTATTGAGAAAAATTTAACGAGGTGTTTACCCGGACAGATTCACAGATGTTTTAGTCTATCGTAGAAGATGTTACTTTATAGTTATGTCTAAGCTTCAGCCTTCAAAGCTTAACATATAAAATTTCATTTTCATGTTAACCCGTATGAGGCCTAAGGCATGAGGGGCGCGTATGTACATAACTATCTATCTATCTATCTAACTGCCTGCCTGCCAGCCTACCTATCTACCTACCTACCTACCTACCTACTTTTGACCTAATATATCTGATAGATGCTACATAATTCCTTGAGAATATATGTTCATCAATTTTCATGATTGTAACTCTATCCACGAGACGCACAAAAATCAATTACTTAATGCTACTGGTTATTTGTTAGAATGCCAGATACGTTCATCTTGGTGAATTGAATTAATTTCTAGCTATAGTTACTGTTAGCTGTCTAACCAGTGAATAATTCTTTCGAAAATATTCTTGGAAAAATAAAATTTATATAGATATTTTAGATTTAATTACAATCTGTTAACATACTCAATAAAGTATAGAAAGAAATAAAAACTAATATGTTTGAATAGCATGTAATCAGAAGACTTAATTTATTCGAAAATTGTAGTCTATCTGCTCAATACATTTCGAACAATTTGATCACACAAACATTTGCTTGTCAGTTCATTCGATATGAAGAAGATGATAATTAATTATTTTTATACATATAAGGCTTGAGGGCTAGAATTTAGGAACGGCCATCGTCTCAGCGTATTTCAGCATACGCCTTTGACCGCTTTGAAAACAACACCGAGTTACAGAATTTTCACAGATTTTCATATCAAGGTATCTACTCCTTAGTCAGAATCTTCGAATAATATCATAACCGACAACATATAGGCTGAAGAAATATCGTTCCATCTGAAACTAATTCTAATACTGCTACACTATTGTTTTTCCTCCATTTTCCCCGAAAATTTTCTAATGATAGGTGGAAAATTATTTAAAATTGTCTGCGTGTAAAGATTGCGAATCATTTTAGCTATCCGATGATCCAAACAATATGAAGGCAGTAAATAGAATGTGTTTCGATTAATGGAAAATTTAGGCAGGCCAGTGATTTAAGTAAACTCGCCTAGTTTACTGGCTCTTCAGTTTTATAGCCGGTTCCAAGCCTAGGAAAAAAAAGAGGTCTGGGTGTGGAATAGCTACTCTATCCCGGAAAACAAATCAGCTTGCTACAGAAACTTCAAAAGGCAAAAAAAATATTTTAAAAAATTGATTTTTTGATGAAAGCGGAGAGGTAAAATGACGTGGGCTAGTGAAAGCCTTTGGGAAGCCAGTAGACTGATGTGCTTTCTCCAAATGAAAGCAGAAAGAAATAATAAGGACGTGGATTGTCCGAAAAATATAAGAAGCTTGAAAGGATGCCCAAGTGGCCGAAGAAATGGGAAGATATGGTATTGAAGTGCTCGGAATCTGCGACAGCAGATGGAGTGGACGTCGATTAGCCAAAATGTTAAATGAAGGGTTAGTAATCTGCTCTGGTCACTCAGACGACTACTACAACCACACTCAGAGAGTGGCCTTCTTTATGCCAATAACTTCGGCCAAAAGCTACTGAACTCTGACTAAGAAGGCAACAGGGCCAGACAGAATTCCCCGCCCCCCCCGCCGATGCACTGAAAACGGACGCAGAGACTGCCGCAGACGTGCTCACGCCATTATTGCAAAAAGTTTGGGAGGAAGGAAGGGTGCATGCTGACTGGAAAAAAGGCTAACCTGTCCAGCTCCCAAAGGACGGCGGCTTAAGCATCTCGCTACAAGAGCTGGAGTGGAATAATGCTCTTGTCCACGCCGAGTAAAATACCAGGCCGCGTCATCCTGGAGAGAATAAAAAATGTACTGTCTGCAGAACTCACTCACACGAAAGAAGCTGGATTCAGGAAAGACAAATCATGTGCTAATCAAATTGCAGCTCTACTCATCATCATCATCGAACAAAGCACAGAATGGCAGTCAATCAGCTACCATATCGACTTCGAAAAGGCCTTCACCGGACAGCATTGACCGAAAAGTAATTTGCAAACCACTTCAACACTACGACATGCAGTGCTTAAGTCTTTATTACACCACTCAACAGCTGGCTATATGACAATGACACATCTCAGGTGATTTACAACGGAAAATTCAGCGAAGTCTTTTCAGTTAATAAAGGTGTAATACAAGACTGGCCGCCTCTTATCACAGATGATATTTCTAATTGTGATGGATTGAATTAGGCGTCAGAATGTGGGGAGTGAGAAGACAGTAATACGTTAAACCAACATGGAGTCCCAAGAAGATTTGATTTTTACAGATGATTTATACGCGAAGACTTGCAGACAAAAACCAATAAACTGGCTGAAGAAGCTGGCAGCGAAGACAGGACTCCAGGGGAACAGAGAGAAAATGGAAGTGATGAAGACAGCCAAACGACAGCAACAGCAACAACAACCAGTACCAGTCACCATCAACAGAAAAAATTTGAAATAGGTCATTTCATTCACTTACCTGGGAAGCATTGTTTCAACACCAGATGGGATGGATTAAGATGTTAAAGCTGGTCAGAATAAGAAAGACCTAAAGTAGTGTACAGTTTATAAAAAGTTACAACAGCTAAAGTGTATCCTACGGTGAGTCTTAATCATGATGGCATTGTTATTAGAATAAAATAACTAAATGATTCAATTGGTTTGCCATAAGTTATAGATTATAAATGACCTCTGCTGTTTCATGGTCTTTGGAAGCACTTCATAAAATGTCTAATTTTTCATACATTTATTCCCCTTTATGAATTTGAATAAAGCAAGAACAATAGTGGTTTGTGAAGAATAAGACAGTACCATCATTTATTTCGTCAGTCACTCATCAACTGCTTACAGCCTAAATAAATAATTATTATTAAGTTCATGTACAGAAAAATTTTAGCATACTTGCAAATTTCACGTGATTTCAGTTGGCAAGAGGTTCGGGAATTAGTGAATGGCGTTGAAAAAATCACACTTAGATAGTTTTTACACAGGAAGTTCAAGTTTAAACAAAATAAATATATGCATACAATGGTAAAGGAGTTATTTAATAAAGACGAAGACTATATAAAATGATGAGTGATTAATAAATTGGGTAACAATGTACTGAGTTCAACTCAAATCCTGGAAAAAAGAGACAAGTACAATAATCTTATATTGAAGGTGGGTGAGGTTAAAGCCAAAGATTGCGTAATCAAATGAAAGACAGAATAAAGATATCCAGTTACCAGGGCAAGGAAAGACTGATAACTGCTTTTTTCTGGACACATCAATCGGGTTTCAGCCGTTTTATTGAGATTGCTTTGGCAAACTCGAGTAGAATTGAGTTGTATTGTCTGTTTATAGTTTTAAAGGATTTTGTGATTTCCACCTTATGACTCATATCAAGGAGACATCTGATAATGGCGCTTTCGTAGGTGCTTATCCCCTTGAGACGTAGCCTTTTCCATACACCTTGAGAAAATCGGAAGTGTGCCTTTCTTTCTGTTCTCTTAATGCGACTGCTACCGCAGATACATTTAAATTTAGATATACAGTTGGAGGTGACTTGAGAAGGGTATTTGTGGGTTTTAGCTGCATGAAACAGCATGCTTTCCGATAAACAGAAACCATTTTAGCTGCAGCATAAGCTCTGGCTAGTATCTACATTCTTCTGTCTGACGACAAACCATATATTGCTAGAACATTCCGACACATTAGAACAAGTGTGTTCACTCATATATATTTCACAATTTCATGTTAAATAACTTCCTTGGCGCGAATATCCAGTACAGTCCCACAGAAGGTCAATTGCGAGCCCAAATAGCTCAGCGGTAACGTCTCTGACTGCAGTACTCACTGAGTGACGAGGGTTCCAATCTCAGAAGGGAGATGAGTTCCTACAGGGTCGCGAATATGTCTTGCTGAATGGTGAGTACTAACTTACACAAAACCTAGATCAAGCATGGCTTCCTGTCGACTGCATCTAACCATCTAATATCAAAGACATTTTTTTAGATTCTTTTAAAAGTGCAAAGCACATTGGAAACTAAGTAAACAAGTGTCAAGTTCATGTATCGACGCAAAGGTATAATTGAATGAATAAAATAATGAGAAATGAAGATAGGTTTATGCATTATGCTGGATGAAAACTCAGATATTTCAGTGACTTCAAAAGGCTGTCGCTGATGTATACTTTCATTGCGTTCCTAGTAGAACAAAGGGTTTCAAGCTTGGGCTTTAAAGTTATAGTTGCAGTGGTTACATTTTCACTGGTTGGAGTTTCTAACCTCATGTCTAACCTTCAGTCTTTACTACTGGGCTTACTACCAGCTTAGTGAGGTTTAGGAGTGAGTCGGCCAGGCATCGAGCCCTGGATCACGTAAGTAATTGGTAAG